GGCGGGTGAAGGACAAAACTGTCCGCCGGGCCTGAAGGCGTTTGCGCTGCAAAGTCAGTCGCTGAGCTTCAGTCCTCATGCTGATGTTCTGAAGCGGACTCCATGGGCTGCATGGCCAAGCGATCATCAAGACGTCGGGCTCGACCTCCTGGATGTACTTCATTGCCTTGTTCTGGCCGTCCATGGTGCTGACATCCCAGCCTGACTCCAAAGAGATTGGCTCCCAAGCTTCCCAACATCCTCGCTCGGTGGCAGTGATTGACAGCATACATGACCATGTAAAGAGCTCGAGAATGCGCCACCTTGAGCGAACTGAGGGCTTGGTGCTGCGAGCGATGAGAGCAGGCTTGCAAGAAACTTCAATCGCAGCTGCATCGGCAATCTGGTTTGCTGCGTTGAGAAGACGCTTGCGCTGACCTTTGGTCAAGATCTCATTCCCCTCCTGCGTGAGGCCGGTTGTGAGGGCGTCTTCAAAGCGGTCAGGTTCTCCCTCAGAGTCTGACGTGCTCTCATCAGCTGATGATGGTCCATCTTCGTGGGATGACTCAGATTGGCCTGAAGAGAACGAGCCATGGCTGTCTGAGTCCGTACTGTCGTCATGGGGCTCCGCCTCCTTGATGGGGACCTTGTGCACGATCTGGTCCAAACCACTGATGGCCTCATCTTCCATGTGGCTCTGCCACAGAGCTAGATCTTCCAGATCTGATTCTGGCTCAGCCAGGGAGTAAAAAGACACCTCAGAGTCATCTGAAGATGTCGCCTCCTGCTTGGAGGGAGAAAGTTCATCTTGGCTCTGCCAAAGCGCCAACTTGTGTGGATCTGCTCGTAGGACAGCTCGAAGTTCTCGAAGTTCGGAGGTGTTCCAATCCTCTGCCTTGCCATCACCCAGAATCTCGAGAACGGGGTGTCGAGTTGGTGAGAGCTCCGTAGGTGTGCTGCAGCCATCAATCACCGTCATGCCCTTGGCGAAGTCCATAGTGACCTTCCAGCGTGCCAGCTCTGAAGGTCCAACCAGTGCCGGGCAATTTGAAATCCGGGGATCCTGCTTGGTGTCATCAACCACAGCAACTCTCAACCACGATCGGATGCCAGTTCCTCCCAAGACCACTGGATAGAGACCAGCTTCCGTTGACAGAGCTGGAGCTCCAGCACCGAAGCGAAAAGTCTCCTCATGCTCCAGCACCTCATAGGGAAGATCGCGCTGGTCCAGGGCCTGGCGCATCTTGACATGCCACTTTGCACCAGCGACTGCAGTGCGGCATCCACTGTCCAAGATCACTTTATGGGCTGCGTGCTCCAGCATCCAAACATCCATGGGGTCCTCCTCCAAGACCGTCTCGGCGGTGAGTGCACCATGGTCCATGCTGTAATAGAGCACCTTTTTCAACTTGCAAGCCTTGCAAGAAGCCCAATGAGCGGCACCGTTTGCGCCCCACCTCAAGTTCTGCCACAAGTGAGGGCACTTCTCCTGTTCTGGAGTTGGCAGCTCTGATGCTTCTGAAGGTCGAACTCGTCCTTTTCGATCCAAGGCACCATCATAAAGATCTTTCCTGAACTGCTTGAGACGCTTGCGCCGAACTGGCTCAGGGAGATCACTTGTCGAAGCTGGCTCTGGTGCCGGGGTGGTCGACGAGCTTGCTGCCTTATAGCCTCCATCATGCCGCTTGTCTGATCTCTTCAGCTTCTCGGCCGTCTGATGCTGGTCCAAGTATCGTGCCGCTTCACGATCTCTTTCTGCCTTCAGCTCCTTGTACAGCTTCCTCTTCTCTTCTTTTGACATGTACGGGAGGATCTCCAGCATATCGGCCGGTGCGAGGTCGGTCTCCATTGCCACGGGCTTCGATCCTTTTGCTTTGCTCTTTGCTTTTGCCAGCTCTTTCTCCTTCTCTTGCAACTGCTCTTGCTTCTTCAGCAGCTTCTTCTTCAACTTGAGATCAGACTCATCAACTTCTTCAGCCAAAGCTGAAACCACTGTGCGAAGAGCTGCTTTATATTTGGAAGCCTTCTTCTGAGCAGATGCTTCTTCTGACGATTTGCCGGCACTGAATCCAAGAGGTTCTTCTGGCTCTGAACTGCTGCTTGGTGAAGAGACGGCTGAACTGGAGTCCGAAGAATAGGCCTTGATGCGCTGCCAACCTTCCATAAATGTCCAGTTCACCTTGCGCACATTGAGTCCCTTGGTGCTCCAAGTGTGGCTGCTGCCGTCATCCTCCTCCTGCTTGACCTCTTCTTTGGTCCTTGTGCCGCTGCCACGTGCCGTAGGCGAAGTGTCGGTGGTGAAGTTGACCTGCGACTTTGCGGGATCATCTCGTGGAGGGTCAGTCCCATTCTTCACATTTGGACACTCAGGGTCACCATGCCAGTGTCCAATCTGTTTGCATGATGCACACTTGGACTTGGCCTTCCGCTGGTCCTTCGTGCGGTACTCCACGAATCTGCCACCACCCTTCTTGCCCTTTTTGCCCTTGCCCTTGGACTTGGCATCGCTATAGCCACGTGCTTTGCGAGCTTCAGCGGACTTCTGCTTGGCACGCCATCCTGCCGCATAGGCTTCTCTCAAGTCCATGCCATCATCATCCCAATCCCAGTCGCCTTCTTCATCTTCGTCATCCCAGTAGTGGTCCTGCTGGTAGGCCTCCTGTTCCAAGTCTTCATTGTCAGCCTCATCGTCTTCGTTCTCGTAGTAGGCCTCATCATCACCTTCTTCCTCTGGGATGCCTTCCTCGTCATCGTCCCAGTCCGGCTCCTCCTTGACATTGGCGAGATGTGCACGAGAGGATCGGTGAGGTTTCGGGCGATTTGACTTGGAGGTTGATGAAGTCTTCCATCGGCGTGGATGATGGTGCTTGTCCTGAGGGCGGTACTTGGCCTCATCGAGATGGACATTCGAGCATCTGAACCTGAGAACCTTCTCGATGGCATTGGATGCATACTTGCCGCCAGCACTGTAGAAGATGTCCATCCTCTCCTTCTTGGTGAGGGAAGCACGGGATAGCATTCTCTGGGCAAAACTCTTGTCGGACAGCGTGGTTCCTGTATCTTCTGCCAGGTATTCTGTTCGAAGTCTCTTCAAGGTGCTGATATAGGAAGCGACGCTCTGACCTGGTGCACGGCGATACGTCAAATAAGCTTCCTGGCGCTCTTCGAAGCGTTCGTCAGATCTGGCACCATAGGACTCCTCAAGCAGCCGCATGACTCGGTTGAGTCCTCCTGGCTCCCTCATCTCGGAGACTTGAAGTTGATTCAGGATTTGACGCGGCTCTCCCTGGCATGAAAGATAGATTAACATGGCCAATTCGGCCTCATCCAACCTGTACAGCGCCTGCTGGGCCTCAATGGTGCGCTTCCACTCTTTGAAGTGGGATCTTGAACCCCTGAACATTTCCAGGCGGACTTGACTAAGCGAAGGCTTCGACCTGTCTTGCTGCTTCTTCGCCTGTTGACCCAGGAGGGCACGGATCTCACCTGTGGAAGCCGTAGATGCACTCGAACCTGATGCTCTGGATGGTGTGCGATTTGATGACGTGCGATTCGAAGCAGCCGGAGTTGATGTCACGTTGGACGAAGTCGGATCCGAAGACGGCGGACCAGGTGGGGGTCGTAGACGTGGGTCACGAGGGTTCCTCTGATACTGCCTCGGGCCACGGCTGTCGTCAGTGAGATTGGATGGTGTCACCGGCGGATCTTCTTCGAATCCTTCTGACTCTTCACTCTCTTCCTGCTCCTCGTAGGTGTACTCGGAGTACTCCTCCTCATCATCATCTTCGCCAGGCGGATCAGGGTTCGGAGGCGCTGCCTTGGACTTCTTCGAAGGAGTCTGTGAGTCGTCACGGCCAGATGGACGAGGATCATCTTCATGACATTCCTTCTTCTCCTTCTTATCCTTCTTTTCCTTCTTGTCGCCTTTCTCCCCCTTCTCAGCAGCTGAAGGTGGAGGTGGCGTCTTTGTCCTCTGCTCCCTCGGCTGTTCTTTCCTATCCTTCTTCTTGTCCTTGGCGCTGCGGTCTGACTTGTCCCTGCCATCCTTCTTGTCCTTGGCTTCCTTCTTGTCTTTCTTCTCCTTCTTCGCTGCTTCCTTTGGAGCTGCCTTGGCACGAAGTCCATGTCCTTCGGGAAGTGGAACACCTACTGAACGGTGTTGTGACGGGTGCTCCAAAGTCGATGCAGTCGAGTGAGGAGGGCCTTTCTCTCGGCCTTTTGCTTGTTCAGCTTCTCGTCGAGGAAGGTGCCATGATCCGTCCATGGTTGATGGCTCATAGGACAACCATTGAGCTCCGGTCCAGAACATCCAAATGCCCGTTTGAGGTGATTGGTACCAGCCAGGCACCTGACTTGACCATCCAGTAACTGCAGACCATTGTCCGAAGATCTGGTTCCATTGACCTTCATCAAGCACCTCGTAGGCATCGTCCATGGTGTAGGGATGTCGGCCTCGTCCAGCTCCAGCGCCTTTGTCTTTGCCCTTTGAACTCTTCCCTCCATGACCTTTTCCTTTGTGTCCTGGGGAGTGTGCTGGTCGTGGTAGTTCAGGGCGTGCTCGTCCGCGGCCTCGACCTCGATGTGTGGAGCGTCCACGTTCTGCACGGTCTCTGCCGTGTTGTTCCGTGGCTCGGCCACGGGTCGGGGCGCCGCCCTCTGGCTCCGCCGCTGGCGGGGTGGCTCGGCCACCAGGAGTCTCAGCTCCGTCCCATGAGGGAACAGGGATGGTGTCGGCCGTCGTTTCCATCCCTGACCCTAGGTGCGGCACAGCACCTGCCCACCGGTATTCGGTAGGCTCCGCTACCAATGCGGAGATGAATTGGGCTCTAAGAAAATGCGAAAGCGAAAGGCGCAGCTTTTCGCGGCGAACGCTTGATCAAGCTGCGGGCGAAACCGAACATGCCACCAACAACCAGCACATGCCATCTTCCACAACAGTCACAATAATCACCAGCCAATGCTAGTCTAATGGGCACAAATCGCAAGGACCTACTACCCAAACTGGTTGCATGACAAGCTGCAAAGCATTATTGCTCAAACAAGGCGACCGACCTTAGAAATAGAACAGAAATAGCAAGGCCAAAAGGGGATTGGCATTCTAAACTTCAAGCACCTTGCTACTGGTGCCTCTCGTTTGGCTGACCTGGTGTGAAAGCAATGTGGACAGTGGAGGCATATGACGGTACTATACAGTCAGCTGCATTCCGCCAGCATGAAAGCCCGAAATGAGGAAATAGCCTTTTCTTTGTTGGAAAAGGATGCGTCTTCATACTTTTGGACACACCTGGACCTGAGCTTGGGCCCTTCCTGCAGCTGGGGCACGCGCAACGAGCGAGGCTGAAAGAAAGGACCACTGCTCTGCGCGGAAAAGCCGCCAAAACCATAAAATTCCAGTGGGATCATTGTCTCCTTGCACATCAAACGGCACTGCGTGATCTCATGGCTCTCATCGCAACATCTACGGCCTCTAAGCCTGCATTTGGAAAGGATGCGATGCAAAAAGCTTCAAGACTCACAAAGCCACCAAATCTCCAGTTTTGAGGCAGCCATGTCAGGCAAGCTTGCATGCTGTCGAGAAGCCAAGCGCTGGGATTTCTTCATCCTGCGGTCTGGAGTTTCAGTTTCAACCGACGAGTAGAAGTGATAAAAAGTATATATAATATGACTCAAGACCTTTCTTCGGCAATCGCACAACTGGTTGACAATATGATGTACGTGCATATATATATATATATGTATATACATATAGTATATATGGGGTGCCAGATTGACAGATATCATTTCAACAAGAAACAATAAGAATATATACGGGCATGGTTTGCCCTGATGATCGTTGACTGCTGGGCCTTGCCCATGGTGTTTGTTTGATTCCTTCACTTGGAGACCGTGTACTGTAACATGTGTACATTGATCCTTGACAGCAGTGATGTTGCCCTTGGTCACCATGAGCAGGTCATCCGAATTGGGAATGAATGCCGCTGCCAACACGTCAAGGTTGCAAGGTATTTCTGGACAGCGGCACGCTTGGCGAAGCCGCACGGGACCAGGACACTTCCCCTTGTCATCGGACCAATGCAGTCAGTGCTGTGGGAAGGACAACCGAATCCAACTGACCAGGTTTTTGTCCACATGGTGACTTCATCCCGTGGAAAAGCCGTTCAAAGGCCTCTTTGTGGCGGTAGTGCCCACGGCTCAGATTTAGGCCACTGTTTGACAGGGTCGTTGGAAGCGCCACATCTGAGGTACAATAACTGCAGTGAACAATGCACCGCAATGAGCGCAACTACCCGATCTGCAACCAATAGTGCATGATACAGTGACTCACCTAATCATTTCATGGGTGCTAAGTCAATATTAGAAAACCAAAATTGAATAAATTGGAATAGATTGGAATAGATGTCCTCCGAGCTATTTGACGGTCCCCAGTCCCAACCACACTTGTCCGAGCTTCTAAGCATGGGTAGCGCCACCGCAGTTAAGGTCGCCTCATCTCCTTCAAAGATGTCTCTCAAACACTCTGTCGGAAGGAGAGGGCGATCGTTATGAAGCAAGGTGTAGGCCTTGGTGGGCAGTGTTTTCCAAAACCATACGAAGGCAGGTCCTAGCTCCAGAACTCATTCATTGAATGTGGGTCACGAATCCAGAGGTATACTATATAGGAACTCCGCTCTTTTCTCCACATGGATGCAGCTCTG